GAAAAAGAAACATTTTATGGCAATATAAATCTATTACCATAAAGAATACACTTATGAAATTCTCGTTTCTAAACATTATCTTTCAATAATGGACTTCTCATCAAAGAGAATATAATCACTAAGTTCACTTCTCATTTTGAATTTGAAACTTGGATTGACAGTTCAAACTTCAAACTATTAATTTAAAAGACAAAGACAGATTTTTGATTCGATTTGAAATGAACGCAATATATCGATTCTTGATTAAATTGAGCGTATTAATATCTATTTCCGATTATTTTTCTGTGTTTAGTAGATAAAAATTGCGAACATATCTACAAAGTAATAATAAAAAATACAAAATATCAACATTCCAACATGTAACAGTAACTACAAAAATTCATGTAATCGATCTCAGATCGATATCCCTAATATTCACTTCACTTAGTTGTTATTAATTTAACTTTCGTTAATTGTTTCACCATTTTGTTTTCTTATTAACCACAACTTTTCTTTAGTGATTTTATACTGATCCTGCGTTTATATTTTTAAGTAATTATAGTGAAAAATATCCTGTTACAGTGTAATAACAGTGAAAAATCACCTGTTACAGTGTAAGTAATACTTAATCTCACTTTTACTTATTCTACAATAACTCAGCTCCTAGATTGACAAATCTCACCAGATTTTCAGCTATGAATCGTTTATATATACGCTTTCAAATGGTCCTACTTCCATCTTGTTAACACCTGGGCCTAAGAATGTACGGAGACGTCTCCTTTTCCTTTCAGTTTAGTAGCGTTTTAATTTAATGCCATCTACTAAAATATTGGGAAAGTAAATAGATTTGTCAAATTCGTTCTGTAGATTTTGCCGATTTAAGTAAGATGACGTTATTATGTCAATTTCGTGAAAATTTCCTTAAGTAACGGTTTCGAAATGAAGGTGCGATATTTGAAAATTGGACTTACCTAGTCGGACTTTTTGTCCCAGGCAAACTTATTCGTCAACAACTTCGAGCTTAGTGCTACCAACAACTACCGGCAAAGGTGTGACATGGACGTTAAACATGATTTTTGTTTTGTCCATGTTCATCTTAAGACCTATCCGTTGGGTGATACTATTGAGGTAATTGAGCATACGTTCGGAGATTACGACACATCTTCTCGTCAGGCATACCACAAAACCTCAAAACTAGATTGTACAATCAGTGCGTGATTCCATTGATGATATATGAATCTGAGACGTGGTCCTTCACTGCTGGCCGTATAAGGATGCTCAAAGTTGCTCAACGAGCTATGGAGAGGGCTATGCTCGGCGTTTTTCTGCGTGATAGACATAAAAACAAGGATATCCGCAGTAGAACCAGAGTAACCGACATAGCCCAAGGGGTTAGTAAGCTGAAGTGGCAACGGGCCGGCCATATAGCTCGAAGAACCGACAATCGATGGGGAAGAAAGATTCTCGAGTGGCAGCTTCGTACCGGCAGGCGAAGTGTAGGGCTTCCCCCCCCACTCGATGGAGTGAGGACCTGGTAAGACATGCAGGAAGTCAGTGGATGCAGGTGGCTCGGGACCGTGCTTTGTGGCATTCCATACTCCCCGTACCATGTTCAGCAGTGGACTTGTGAAGGGCTGTAATTATGATGATGATGATGATATTTGAAAATATACACACATACATAACACATAAACACTCACGCCTGTCACCCAGAGGGGTAGGCAAAAACTATGGATTTCCTTTGGCACGATCCTGACACACCTCTCTCGCTTCCTCCACATCCATATACCTACGCATACACGCTCGTCGGTTCAAGGTACTCTTGATTTGGCCCATTTTCAATACATCGCCAATTGGGTCGATAAACTTTCGCCTAGGGCGTCCCTTCCCGACTCTGCCGATCACCTCTGCAACATAAATTTGCTTTTGTCACTCTTTCCTCATTCATTCTTTCTACATGACCAAACCACCGAAGCATTCCTTTCTTAATCCTGGTTACAACATCATCATGCAAACCACACTCTTCTCTTATCACACAATTTCTCACTCTGTCATTCAGATTCATCCCTAACATACTCCTTAATGACCGCATTTCTACAGCATTTCTTCTACTCTCGTGTTTCTTCTGCCACACCCAACTTTCACTACCATACATTTAAGTAGGGACTAACACAGCGTTGTGAATTGCCATACGTGCCTTTTTGGACACATTCTGACTTCTCTCAATAGGGTGTAGAGCCCCATTCACTCTATTTCCTGCATTCACTTGTCGTTCTATATCCTTATCATGTCTACCATCCCTGCTAAATACACATCCCAAATACACAAACTCATCTACTTGCTCGACCAACTCCCCTTCTATTCTTATTTGACATATCGCTTTACTTTCTTCGCTTTCAAAAACCATAACTTTCGTCTTACTTGCGTTCACTTTCATTCCCTTTTCTTTTAATGTCCTGTTCATTAATGTAACCATCATTTACAACTCGACCGCCGACGACGCAAGTATGACTTGATCATCGGCGTACAAAAGGCATTTGACGGTTAACTCACCCATTCTTAAACCGCATTCTTCTACTTTCAAATTTTCCAAACAACTGTCCATAAATAGGTTGAACAGCCACGGGGAAGCCACACAGCCCTGTCACCTTTATGGATGCCAAACCAGTCCGAGTAGGCCCCGTCGATCCTGACACAAGCACTAGATTCCCTATACAGAGACTTCAATGCCTGTATCAACCCAGCGCTCAACCCAAATGAGTTCAGTGTTTACCATAACACACCCCTGTCCACTCTGTCATAAGCCTTCTCCAAGTCCATGAACACACAAAAACCTTTTCGGTTTTTGGCCAAAAACTTCTCCGCGATCATGCGCATGGAAAAGACCTGATCTGTACATCCCATTCCCTTTCTAAATCCCGCTTGCACATCCCAAATTTTTCCATCAGTTTCTTTCATAACTCTTTCAATTAGTACCTTAGCATACAGTTTTCCCACAATGCTAAGAAGGCTGATACCACGGTAGTTTTTACAGTCTTGCTGTGATCCTTTTCCCTTATATATTTCGACTATTACGGCTTTGCACCAGTCTACCGGTACCCGCTTAAGTTCCCAACATAAATTAAACAAGGTGCACAGCAGGTCTGCCGCAACTTATACATAATAAATAATCTCTTTGCCAAATATGCAAGAAAAAGTGAGAGGCTGACTACAGGGTAAGACATGGCTGACTTGAGGAGAAATTAGGCTGACTACTAGTGAAAGTGCCGTAATTTGTTAAATGTTGATTTTTTATATAATTCTTTTATAAATATAATGTTTTGTTGAATATTATATTTCTTTAGTAAATTTAATAAACAACCTTTCTGTGAATAATGATTGTTTTTATTCATAATGTATAATATTTAAAATACAGTTGAATTAAATTTTCGTCCTCACTAAAAGGCTGACTACTGGGTGTTTTAACCTATTCACTTTATCCTGACACACCTCTCGGCTTCTTTCACATCCATATTACCTAAGCATACATACTCATCAGTTAAGGATAATCTTAATTTGGGCAATCTTCAATATATCACTAATTTGGTCGATAAAATTCAAAACTATAACTTTTTGATGCCTTTTACCAGAATAATAATAATTAGTTAATGAAACATACATACTTCATCATTTGTTTTAATCAAAAACAGCTTGGTAGCGATCACACCTTATACCCAGGTGTCACCATGGTTATATATTATAAGAATATCATAGTATAATATTCTAATCGAAACGATTCAGTTGTGTGGAGTGTGTTGGAATAAACCAACTAATTCCGATTTACGAGATCTCTAAACATATCGTAGAATCAAGGTCCCTAACCGGTTTGTAGTTAACGATACAGGTTATATTATAATTTGTGGGATCAATTCACATTTACACCGCCGTCTTACAAATATATAATATAGTATAAAAGTCAATACAATACCAGAACACATGATAGCCCAAAGGGCAGTCACCCTTAATTCATACACAAGTAAACCGTGTTCACGTTACGTGAATTACCTACTTGCAATGTGCATTACTCAATTATGACGTGCTCGGGAGTGAATGAAATTTGAAAACATTGCAAGAAACTTGCAAATCTAAAAAACCTTCTGTAGTAAAACTTATAACACTACGGTGTATCTACGTGATTGCGCTTTTAAAAAGGGTTCTGTGTACAGTAATATAACTGTTATTTCTACTTCATTTAATAATTGTAAGCTCACATTAAACAAAAAACTGGTATGTTTATCATTACACATTTTTTATGTCCAATGTTTTATTTACTATGATTACATCTCTTCAAAAGTCCACTGCTGAACATAGGCTTCCCCCAAGGAATACTTTATGGCATTCCTTCTTATAGAATACCAGCGTAAAATAGCAACTTAATGCTGCTGTGTTTTACTGATAATGAGGCATTTCATCTTAGACCTTAGGGGTATCGCGTCTACCTTTTGATGCCTAAATCCTTATAGAGGATGGTCGTAGATGTATATGGTATAAAGTATCCACTATCTATGAAATGGACAGCGTATTCATTAATTCTACTAGTATTAAAAAAAAATTTTAAGGGTAACAAAGGAGCACACAGTCCACACCGTCGATTACGAATCAAAATGCAGATGCGTTGTCACCCGTGAGGACTAAGATGGAATGCCTCGTTTCCAGTAAAAAGGGTTCTCCGGTTCTCTACACTCACCATACGAAACACAGCAGCGTTAAGCTGCTATTTTACGCTGCTAGTCTGTGAAAGCGTGGTCCTTCTCCTGTCTTCCCCGGTGTACTACTAATATAGCTGCCGCATGGCTCTACCACGTAAAAAAGTTAAGATAATAGTAAGTTGACGATGAGAAAGCGCGTTGAGAAAGGTTACTAGATTAAGTACTGGCGGGACTCCTCTCGCTTATAAAGTTATTATAAAGTTTTAAAATTAAATGTCAATATAAGTCACATAATAAGTCCAAAAGAACTATATTATGTATCACTTCTCTCACCTGGAAAATCAGATGCTCGCGCACTGTCAACGTTCCAATAAATAGGTCCTGTTGCTGCACGTACGCAGAGAGCGCAGTCAGTGCTTCAGGGGTTGCGGGTTGTCCATTAAGCGCCCGTGTTCCACTGGAAACCACGCCGCTTGGTGTTCTGAACGTTAACGTGTTGAGGAGCGTTGTCTTTCCGGCGCCCGATGAGCCCATGATTGCTAATAACTCTCCGGGGTACGCTGCACCATTTACTGTGAGATGATCAAAATTTGTCATTGTAAAATGTCTGTTAAAAGTAGCTTTTTCTTTTAACTGATTCTACACCGCCGAGGCGAAACCGAAAATGCTATAAATGTATTTCATTAACAATAAGTTTAGGTTTATTATGCCGAGACATAATAAGTACAGTTTTTATTCAAATCCTTTCCCTATAGATAATTACATCATAACATCGAGAATGGAGATTCCAAATTTATATGGGGGAACGTTATTTAACAGTTTCCAATGTAGAGAATATTTTTTGGGCTTATCTCGAAGAGGAAACTAATGTTGAATAAAATTAATAGAAAGCCAATACAGGCTAGATATGTGCGACTTGATATAACGATGAAGTTCTACGAATCCCAAAGTTTACGCTAAGTAGCTATTTTGCATTATAACACAAATATTAAACTTATGTTAGTGTTCATACAATTTAATAGGGACAAAAGGACAAAAATTGTAAAAGATCATTCACCGTTTCTCAACAACTGTTTCCTTTGCTGAAACATACGGTCGGAGGAGCTTCTCCAGAATTTCCAGAACTTTCTATTCCTAGATCTCGACTCGGTGGCGAAAGCATTGACGTCAGCCCAGGTGTATGTGACTTTCTCCGTTCCGCCAATTGCACCATAGTTACGACTTTGTGGTATTGCCAGGGTAACTTCCCCACCGCTGGTTCGAGGAGATCCACTCGGTGTGCTCCCATCCTAATGAAAAAAGAACGATTATCAATATTATATTATGTAATGGAGAAATTAGTAAGAAATGTTATAATTCTTTAGCAGCAATTAATAGTAAAAATCTTTCTTTAAAAAACCACGTTTTAATAACCTAATGATAAAATTGGGATGGATACTTTCGGGTTACAGCAAGTCCAACTGCTTGTTTTCAATTCGACTGTATTTTTTAATGTGTTACTTCAGAACTTTTTTAGGTGAATTGATTTTGATGATTCTTATTTTATTTGAATGCTGGTGCTTCTCATGTAGTCCCATATAAATTTGATCAAGATCTAAACAGTAGTTTTTGAGTAGTTATCCTTAATAATGCGTATTTAATTGACATCGACTACAATGATGATTAAATGAAACTAATTTTTACGGATTTTATCGCGTTTAATTTAACTTTTTAATTCCCAACGTTTCGGGTGCTTTACAGCACCCATGGTATCGGGAGGGGGGGGGGACGACATTAAAAAGTTAAATTAAACGTGATAAAATCCGTAAAAATTAGTTTCATTTAATGTGCAGTCTTCGCGTAAATAAAAAAATATAAGAAATGATTACATTGATGATGTTGTCGGTTGTATAAAATTTTTAATTTTACCGCTTGTTAATGCTGCAAGAATGTTGATTAGGAAAAGTTTTCGAATCAATCATATTCGAAATACATCATGTTTAAACCTTTTTGTTTTTTGATTCAAACATGATGTGGAATATGATTTTTAATTAAAAAAGAAATACACGTATTTTTTACGCGTCCAAAACAAAACGATCGATTATGACTTACTTAAGAATTGGTTTTTCTAATATGATATTCATAAGATACGTCAGAATACACAGGAGCAGCGAGCGTTTAACTGTTACTGTGCTGCGTAGTAAGTATGCACCACGCAGCATTTTTTAAAAACGCTATTTTTTTCAAGGATTTTCCTATAGTTCCCAAACTGGGGGTCGGTGGATGCAGAGCTCGTCCTCGCTCTGGCAACGCTTGCCCCCATCACTAGCCTGTTATAGTTGGATTGGATTATCTAACTTCTATATTCTACTATGGTAGAGCCAGTTATATTATGGCTGCCACATCTTTGGCAAGGGTGACAAACAAAACACACAGTCCACTTGATAGTAAATGGATAGTGGCCTGTCGACATCTACATCCATACTTGGCAGTTGCGTTATCACTACCAGTAAAATGGTCTTCAGTTGTCTACACTCACCATACAAAACACAGTAGCGTTATGCTGCTATTTTACACTGTTATTCTGTGTGAGTGTGGTTTTGATCCGGTCGAGCCGACGCTTTTGTGCTACAATCATAGCTGTAGCATGGCCCACTCTACATATTAAAACCGTAATGACGTATAATATACAACTTGAGGTTAAGACATAATTGACAAAGTCAGACAGACACTTTTCAACAAAATGTTATTTAAGGAATAATGCAATAATATTTCTAAATGCATTTTGTAATGTTGATGTGTAACAAATAAACGCAACTATATAATAAATTTTAAATTATTCCTAAAACATATTTAACATCTTAAATAACCAAACTACGAAAAGATCATTGATAATATCAATTTAATATCAAGATCTGCCTACGTCCATTGAAGTAATATTATGTACTACGTACGTAAGTACATTACAATTCAATGTCAACGCTATCGTGCAGTAACATATTAAAAAAATACACTAGTAAAAAGAAAACAACAAACTAAAACGGATTTAAATGCTTTGCTGGCAAGGCTTCGTCTGGATACAAGGTGAATGTTAGTTAATATAAAGGGTGCGAGCATGGTTGGAACACATAAGTAAAATTTCATAATCATGCTGACGGGAAACAAAAGGTAGTTTCTTTGTTAGTTGTAGAGTCTCAATTTACTGCGTGTACTTTTGTTATTAGTATAACGAGTCCGCTCAACCGGGGTGGGAACACGCTCTCACGCAATAGCAGCGTAAAATAGCAACTTATTGTTGCTGTGTTTAGTATGTTTAAGTGTAGAGAACAGGAGACCCTTTTTACTGGAAATGAGGCATTCTCTCTCAGTCCTCAGGTGTGTATGGGCCACAGCTTTCACTTACCATCAGGCGGACTGTGTGCTTGTTTGTCACCCTTATTCTATAAAAAAAAAGCTCATGACTGTCTCTTCATCATCATCATCATTACAGCCCTTCACAAGTCCACTGCTGAACATAGGCCTCCCCCAAGGAATGCCACAAAGCACAGTCCTCAGCCATCGACATCCTGCATATCTTACCAGGTCGTCACTCCATCTAATGGGGGGACGCCCTACACTTCGCCTGACGGTACGAAGCTGCCACTCGAACCTTTTTTCCCCATCGGTTGTCGGTTCTTCGAGCTATATGACCGGCCCATTGCCACTTCAGCTTAGTAATCCGTTGGGCTATGTCGGTCACTCTGGTTCTACTGCGGATATCTTCATTTCTAAGTTTATCACGCAGAGAAACTCCGAGCATAGCCCTCTCCATAGCTCGCTGAGCGACCTTGAGCTTCCTTATCCGGCCAGCAGTGAAGGACCACGTCTCAGTTCCATATGTCATCACTGGCAACACGCACTGGTTGTACAGTCTCGTTTTCAAGTTTTGAGGTATACCTGACGAGAAGATGTGCCGTAATTTCCCGAACGCTGCCCAACCGAGTTGATTCCGTCGATTGGCCTCACGGTCGAAGTTGGACTTACCTAGTCGGACTATTTGTCCCAGGTAAACATACTCGTCAACAACTTCGAGCTTAGTGCTCCCAACAACTACCGGCATAGGTGTGACATGTACATTAAACATGATCTTTGTTTTGTCCATGTTCATCTTAAGACCTATCCGTTGGGAAGCATTATTGAGGTCATTGAGCATAGTGCTTAGGTCCTCCAGCGATTCTGCCATAAGGACTATATCGTCGGCAAATCGAAGGTGAGTGATGTACTCGCCATTGATGTTGATACCGTATCCTTTCCAGTCCAGAAGCTTGAAAACGTCTTCAAATGCAGTGGTGAAGAGTTTCGGCGATATGACGTCACCCTGTCTTACACCTCTCTGCAATTGGATAGGTTTCGTACTCTGGTAACTGTACTCGGATAGCCATCGTAGCCCTACTGTACAAGCACTTCAACACTTCGATATACCGGCAGTCAACTTGGCACCGCCCAAATTTCGACTGAATCAAAGGCTTTCTCATAGTCCACATACGCCAGACATAGTGGCAAATTGTACGGACTTCTGTACAATTTGCCAAAGGGTATGTATGTGGTCTATGGTGCTAAAGCCTTTTCGGAAACCGGCTTGTTCGGGAGGCTGGAAGTCGTCAATTCTGCGCGCGAGACGATTCGTAATGACTCTCGAAAACAGCACGTAGACGCGACTCAGAAGGGAAATCGGACTGTAGTTCTTCAAGAGAGCGTTGTCGCCTTTCTTGAAGAACAAGACCACTGCACTTCTGCTCCACGCCTCCGGTGTAATACCACCATGGAGGGCGGAATTAAAGAGTTTCTGAAGGACTTCAAGTACTGGTTTTCCACCCGCTTTCAGAAGCTCCGCTGTAATGCCATCCTCGCCTGGGGCCTTGCCGTTTTTAAGGTGCTGGAGAGCCATTCTAATCTCGCTCAGACTGACGTCCGGGATATCTTCGGAATAGTGTCGGATAAGACTCGCTCTTGGATCGTTACTCACACTTGCGTGTGGCTCCAACGATGTGTACAGCTGCCCATAGAATCTCTCAATCTCACTCAAAATCTCAGGTGTCCCGGAAACGACGCTGCCACACTCGGTCTTCAGCTTCGACAGTTGGCTCTTTCTGGTAGACAGATCTCTAGCAAAGACTTTGGAGCCCTGGTTCCGCTCGATCTCTTCTTCAATATGAGCAGTATTAAAGTTGCGTAAGTCCCGCCGCATGCATTTGGAGATCTGTCTGTTCAGTTTCCTATATGCTGTCAAATCTACTGAAGACTGCAGCTTCATATCCCGTCTAACAGCCATGAGATTAAGAGTGTGATCGGAGAGATTTTGTGTTCTTCTGCGGCGGGTCTTGCAAAACTTAGCTCCGACCGCATGGACAGTTTCCACAAACTTGTAATTCATATCGTCCATTGCATTGCAATCTTCTAGGCACTGAAAGCGGTTTCGTAGCTCGAGCTGAAAGGTCTCGGGACTTTGGATTAGAGCACGAGGGGGACGGAGCGTTGACTTCATTAGACGTGACCTCTCCAACTTAACGTTTAGGTTCAGTGTGCCTCTCACCATTCGGTGATCGCATCCGGTTTTCACCCTCGCGATCACTAAGATATCACTGGACAGTTGTCGTCTTGTCGTCATAATGAAGTCAATCTCATTTTTTGTCGAACCGTCGGGACTCGACCAGGTCCACTTCCTGTGGGGCCGCTTCTCGAAGAAAGAGTTCATCATAAAGAGTCCCTCTTTCTCCATGAAGTCGGCCAGATGCTGGCGCCTTGGGTTCCGTTGCCCTATTCTGAATTTCCCTACTTTCAGCTCACCGTTCTCTCTTGTGCCTAGTTTTGCGTTAAAGTCTCCCATTAACACCGTATAGTGGGTTTTGGAGGAATGCATGGCTCTAGAGATATCCTCATACATTTCCTCCACCTCCTCATCGGGGTGTGCCGAGGTTGGTGCATAAACCTGTATGACCTTCAGCGAATACCGTTTGGTGATTCTGAGTTAAGTGTTCGTAGTTCTGAGTATAAGGTACGCAACCCTCATCGACACACTCCCAATCTTTACAACGCTGTTAACGAGAGACTTGTGGACGATAAATCCGACACCTCCTTGGGACAGATGGTCGCCCTCCCGGTGATAGAACAAGTTGCCGGATTCGTGGATTACCGTGTCCTCCCCCTCTCTTCGGACCTCGGATAATCCTATGATATTCCAGCGCAACTTGTCTATCTCTTCTTCCAACTCCAGGATCTTCTCGTCAGTCCTCAGGGTGCGTGCGTTATAAGTTGCCAGGTCGAGTCGTCG